CCTCCTCAATGGTCTCTGCTAGCCCTCCTCAATGGTCTCTGCTAGCCCTCCTCAATGGTCTCTGCTAGCCCTCCTCAATGGTCGCTGCTAGCCCTCCTCAATGGTCTCTGCTAGCCCTCCTCAATGGTCTCTGCTAGCCCTCCTCAATGGTCTCTGCTAGCCCCTCCTCAATGGTCTCTGCTAGCCCTCCTCAATGGTCTCTGCTAGCCCTCCTCAATGGTCTCTGCTAGCCCTCCTCAATGGTCTCTGCTAGCCCTCCTCAATGGTCTCTGCTAGCCCTCCTCAATGGTCTCTGCTAGCCCTCCTCAATGGTCTCTGCTAGCCCTCCTCAATGGTCTCTGCTAGCCCTCCTCAATGGTCTCTGCTAGCTCTCCTCAATGGTCTCTGCTAGCCCTCCTCAATGGTCTCTGCTAGCCCTCCTCAATGGTCTCTGCTAGCCCTCCTCAATGGTCTCTGCTAGCCCTCCTCAATGGTCTCTGCTAGCCCTCCTCAATGGTCTCTGCTAGCCCTCCTCAATGGTCGCTGCTAGCCCTCCTCAATGGTCGCTGCTAGCCCTCCTCAATGGTCTCTGCTAGCCCTCCTCAATGGTCGCTGCTAGCCCTCCTCAATGGTCTCTGCTAGCCCTCCTCAATGGTCTCTGCTAGCTACCTGTCCCAGTGCACCATAGATGATCCAGAAGAAGCCGTGGACGAGCAGGGGAAGCAAGCAGTTCTCCAGTGCCGTCGCTGAACATTTGGAATCTTTTGCATCAGAAATTAGCATTCGCACCGGCGACCGTTATCAGGTACATCATTTTCAAATCCATGGTGACAGTGGAAATTGGGGGGAATAGCCGATTAGAAATGAATGCAGTGGGGATGGAACCGCGGGGCTATGTTCTCGAAAGGTACGGTGATTTCCGGAAGTTGTTATTGTGCATTGAATGATGGTATTTTATTTTCAGATGGCATTCCGAGCCTTAACATTAAAATTATTTTTTCTTTTATCTCTTACATTTATTATATTTTAAAGTGGTTAGAAAATCTGCTTTTTTCAGTTCTTTATTTTCGTTTCTTTGGTTCCGAAAAAATCGGTGCTTTCGCGTTAGCGGGGGGGGGTAATTTTCCCTGAGTCCAGAAATGCCTAGCGATATACTAGGCGTTCTAATAAGGCTTTTAGCAAAATCTAGTTATACTTCAAAGCGAAAAACTATTTTAAAAACTTCAAAAAATTGATTCGAAATTTGGTCGAAAATCTGTCAGTTTGGCTCGAAAAATCTATATTTTTCTGATTTTTCACGATAATTTGTAAAGCTTTCGCGTTTGAAAAATAGTAAAAGTATGATGTAACAATATTTCCTTTATTTGTCTTAAAAAACGTGATATCAAAGAAGAAAAAGTTTGTTTCCACAACGGCAACGCGAAAGACCGTACCTCCGTATCGCGGCATGATTTCTTTTGAGAATCACTTGGTTAAAATTTGTGAATTAAATTTTATTTAAGTACATCACAATCTTTCCAAAAGTTCGGCCACTCCGTTGGCATCCTCTGGACGGGATGACGGAGCGGAATGGTGAGGCAGTCGCAGTGAAGGCAGTGAAGGCGAGGCGCTCGCCAGGCTGGGTAAGCCCCTTACAGAGAAAAATTCGTTTTGTAATAGGGCATCGGCGGAACTTCTAAATTTAAATAATTTTTAAATTGAAAAAATTTATAAAAATCCACCTAAGCGTCCCGCAGAGCCGCAGCTGCATCTTGAGCGCGGTGATAAATTGTGGAGACGCGCCGGGTACTGTAAACTTTGGATTTTAGAAACCCCAGCTAAACAGGTTCTGGCGCGTTAGCGGGGGGATCTCGGGGAGGCCGCGCCCACTGCTCCGCCCCCGCGCTAATGAATCAGAACCCTAAAACTCACCGATCGGTGACCAATTCTCCGTCTCATGTCGCTCTTCAAATATGATTTTCTGGCTGTCCGGCATCTAAGGGTGGTTTATTTATTTAAGTTACAAGAATTTTTAGAAAAATTTATCTATTTTTAAACCGGCAAAATCCGTTAGAAACTTTTTAAAGTAAAGTAAAGTAAAGTTTAAAAAAATTAAAATTGGATTCGAAAATTCGATGGGACCAGTTTTCGCAGAAAAAAACGTATTTAGAATTAGTAAAAAACTGCTCGAAACACTTCATCTATCTATTTTGGGTAGGTTGCATCCACAGGAGAACAATTCTACTACCCCACCCCCCGCTAATGCAAAAGCTCCCAGGGCTGATTTCTAAATTGTATAAATTTGAATTTTAACCCACCGATCCCCAGCTGGGCCAATTCTCAGCCGTCGGCGTGCCGAGCAGCTCGAATATTTTGGCAATCTGGTCAAAATCGTTGCGACCCTGAAGTATATTTTTCCATGGAGTTAAAGAGCAACCTTCCTACCGTAAAAAGCGGGCATCGGTTCCAGAATTCGGCCAAAATGCACCCGGTAGCCCACAGATCGACGGCCGGCGTGTAGCGGCGAGTGCCAAAAAGTAATTCCGGGGCGCGATACCACCGCGTCGCCACCTAAAACACATATAAATATATTTAGCATTTCTAAGTCTAAAAATGCCCTGCTAAACCTTAAAAAGTCTCCAAAAATTTTGACTTTTTGGTCAGAAATCTATGAAAAAAAGACTGTAATTGGCTAAAAACGTTTTAAAGGTGTTTAAAAAATGCTGTATAATGTTGTAATAAGCGGAAAATGCTTAAAATGTTATTAAATATAGTAGATTTTGCTACAATACTATTAATATAAAAGGTTTTCGCTTAATTGCCCTTCTAAAAAATTGCTCCACACTACGAAACGCGAATAATTCCTAAAATTCACTGCCAGCCTGCCTAGCCTCCAATTACCTGTTCTTCATATTCCCGATCCGGCTGATCCGGAAAATACAGGCACGCCTGCCCGAAATCGGCAATTTTGACGATATTGGTGTGGCTGACGAGGATATTCTCGGGCTTCAGATCCTGAACAACTTATCTTTTCAAAATGGGAAATTTCGCGACAAACCCTATGCATAATGCCCAGCCGATGGAGGTATCGGACGCCCTTTAACAGCTGTGAAAAGAAGAATCTTGCCGAGCACTCGGTATGTGGGCGTTGTGTGTCCATAATCGTTGCCTAAAGGAATAAAAATTAAGACTTTCGGTTCTAATCCTGTTTCTTATAAGGGCAGATATACCCAGTAATGTAACAGTAGATTTTAATAGTGTTTCCAGCAAGTAAAGAACGAATGAAATTGCCCACTTTTAACGTTTTTGCCATAAATTCCATGACCATCGTCAGCGTGTCCTGGCTGCAGAAGATGTCCAGCAGCTTCACGATCTAACCCTGGGTTTTTTCGGAGCTTTTTTGGAACGAACATGGCGATGATGGCAGTTTCTGAGCGTAGAAAATTCTCTCAAGATGTCGAGCCGCGATCGGGAGCGCAGGTTCACCTTTTTCAGAGCCACAACCTCCGAAGTCTAAATCGGTAATAAACAAATCCCAAAAACCTTTGAATTTTTTTACCACCAAGCCTACCTGTACATTTCTGGCCTTCAAGACGACGCCGTAGGAGCCCTGCCCAATTCGGCTGATGATCAGGTAGTTGTCCATGACATTTTACAATTTTTTGTAGTATTAAAGCTCCAGCAGATCGCCAAAAGTTTATTTGTCCCCGGCCCCTTCAGGTTGCCATGGTAATGGCGTCCGATTTTTCGGGGTAAATTATGCGGTTTTCGGCCAAAATACCTCAAATTTTCGCTAAAATATCGTGGCGCAGCTTTTTATATAGTATTTACTATATTTCTTCCTTTATTTCTAAATTATGTTTTAGTAAATTGCTATTTTCTTCATATTAAAGCGCGTTTCCGTAACACTACTACCACCACATGGACGTACTGCGCCGTCAACAAGCGGACTCGCCTGATTTTTCTCTCAACTTGCCGAAATTTCTAAAATTTTGTAAACCAATTTTTTGGAACAATTTTGTTTATAGGTTATACAATTTTCTTCAATGCTAATTTTCAGACGATGCTCCAAAATGTCTCTAGACTCGGCACCCCGATGAGATCGTATTTATGCAGCACGCGGCCCATGTCGAGTTCAGTAAAGGTGACTTTTCCTTATCTGACATATATCCTCATATCTAGGCATTGGCGAAACCGAAGCAATCTTTTGAAGAAGCTCTGCACCGTGGGCCCGATCAGCGGGATATTACGTATGAGAGTCATAACCTTTTTTTAACTTAACTTTTTAGGACAATGGATATCCTGGAAGAGCGCATTCGGCGAACAGAGCAAGTGCGCGAAATTACCATCGGAGGACAGAAGCAAAAGTGGAATTATAGATCTGAGGTTTGGAAATGGTTATTTGGGCTTTAAATTCTGTCTAGATGGTGAACAAACACGGGTTGGACAACGATCATCGCTATATTTGGATGGTCTATGCGGGGATCATCGTTTTTGGATTTGGTGCCTTCGTTTGGGTGAAGTCGAATGTCGTCAAGAATCGCCAGATCGAGATGCAGGCAGGTTTTTCGTGTTTGGTGGCCCTTTTTGTGTGCATTACGGGTAGTACGTAGTGCATAAAATCACGGGATTTAATAGTTTTATATAACGCAAAAATCTTGATTTCAGGAACGCGAAAAGATCCGTAGAAGTATGAACTTGATCGGCGAGGATCGAAAGAAGATTGGCGTGATCGAAGAGTGATACCGGTGCTTGATTTTAGAATTCTAGATGTATTTATTATCATCAGTTTTTGTGTGTTTTGTTTGAATGAATTGCTTAGATGCTCCACGTTTCTTTATGAAAAACACGAAAGGAATCGGTTTATTAGGAAATTCTCAAATACACTTGTAGTGGGAGACCCGTTGTGGTGGCTGTTCGATACATTTGACAAACGCGAAATTCAGAGAGCTGCCGAGAAGCTGGGCAGCGAACCCGTGGTGTTTTGTGCGTACTCGTTTTCCGAGTATATCTAAAGCGGAAAACTGAAAATTTCGGCGTTATTTCACCTCATTGACCATCGTTTCCGTCCTTGGTGTTTGTAGCGGAAGTCCTAATGCAGATCCGCGGCGCTAAAGTTTTTAGGCTTTCATGATTTCGTTCCGAGGCGGACTTACCCGTCCATGCACTGGGCATCTCTGCTGCATCAGTGGCCGGCTACCCGCCAGCGTTGCCGCTTCATAACTGGGTGGCAGACTTTCTACCGAAGCGGCCGTCTAAAAGAATACGAGTTTTTTTTTCACTCTGGGATCCGGTCTTGAATAAAAACCTCGTGGCGGTTCTAACTTTTTTATATTCCTAATGGTAAAAGAAAGTGGTAAAAAGTCTATTTTTCGGCCAAATTGAGCAAAATTGCTAATGGTTACATACTTTTTCATTTTTCAAGGTATTTTCTACTTGATCAAAAAAATAAAAATGTTTGTTAAGCGGTACTATCGATCTTCTGGGAAAAAAGTTCGGAAATGCCAAGGAACCTTGTTTCTTTCTGCTTTTTCATGAGCTTTTCCCAACCTACCCGTAAAAGATCGGCGTACGTCGGAAGGCTTTCCTTGCTGCCCATCGCATCCCGTGCCAACCGCCTGCCCGGGTCCCTAGAGAATGCGGGCAATGCCTTCCCGGAAAACCCGGGTGAATAATACCGGCAGCAGCCATGGTGTGGAGGTGGCGCCAGGCAGGGGAACGAGTTGGGAATGTTGGCGAATAGGGAGGAGAATTGTGACGAATCCATCTGAATTCAAAAATTAATTTTTTCGCGGTTTCAGTACCGATGCCCTCCTCCGCCTGCGCTCCTTTCGCTTTTTGGCGATCATCTTGGCGCATTGCAGGAACAAATTGATCATCGTCCCTGAAATTATGATTCTAGGGATCTGAGCAATGTTTATAGCCCGTTGTATATTTTTTTATAGGTTGAAAGATGGGAAATTCTGTCTGGCGACTCACCTGCAACGACGACGCCCAACAACCAAATCACCGGAGCCCAGCGGAAAATGTCTTCGGCAGCTACCTGAAAAGGCGGTATAAAAATTGGTTTTTTCGTATTATTGGGGGAAACCGCGTTTTCTCTCAAGATCCAAGCTTCTACAAGGTTTTTTTGAGTCTCCCCGACAAGGTAAAAATACAAAAATGATCGATTTTTGACCAAAAATGGGCGATTTTCGATAAAATTTCAACTGAAACAAGTTTTAAAGTTTTTTGTGACTGTTTTTCCACTTGAAATACGGCGAAATGTTGCTAAAAACATTATCAAAACAATTACTTACTTACTATATGGACCTTACGGAACCCCCCGATATTGCCAAAGCACCGAAATTTCATACAATAAAAATGAAATGAAAACTTTTCATGGCATGGCTGGGGCCCGGAAGTGAGCGCGCGCGTCTGGGATATCAATCTTCTGCCCGAAATGTGGGAGGGGCCAAAACAAAAAAGGGGCGTTATCCTGCTCAACGCCAAGCCAAAAGACGACGGGAAGAAGTAAGGGGCAAGAATCACGAAGTCGTTGCTTGTATCTACATGTAGTATTCTGGATTCCAGTAGCCTTTTTAGGGAACGCGAAGAGGGCTAAGAATAGGGGTCATTTGTCCGGATACGTCACACGCCCACTTCAAAAGGAGAAGAAGAAGAAGAAGTCAATCACGCTGCGGTTCAGCGCTGATGGCCCGCTTTTTAGCGGTGGTGGCGGGGGAGGGGAAGGGGGGAATGTGGCCGTTCGTCTATTGGACCGTGGAAACCGAGGGCAACTACATCTTTGTCTAGAAACATTACTTGAAGCCGCGCCATCAGCACCAGGATTCCGATCAGGAAAAAGACGGCGGCCAGCAGGATAAGCCGGCGCATTTCATCGTACGACCGGTCGATTCGTAGTCGTAGTTCCCTGGAAAAGTGAGGGTTAGGTAAAATTGATAAAGTAAAGCGGTTTTTTTGCAATAGATGGGACCTAATTTGTTCCTATGCGTTCATTTAGTAAGCCTAGCTATGTAATAGAAGTTTTTTAACAAAATAGCTATATTCCAAGCGGAAAAACGGCTTCAGGACGTATAAAAATGCCGAAAATGTAAATTTTTGATAAAATTGTCAACCGTTGGTCGAAAAATCGGTGCTTTTGCAATATCAGGGGGGGGCCGAATTCCTTTCCTATAAGTCTAGAAAGCCCTGAAGACTAAATACACAATACTTGAATAGCGTTTTTAGTAAAATGCAACTATATTTAAGTGGGAAAACATCTTAAAAACTTCGAAAAATTCCAAATCAATCGAAAATTGGAAAGTTTTTGTCGAAAAACCGTTATTTTTGTATTGTTTAATAAAATTTGTAAAGTTTTTACGTTTAGGAATAGTAAAAAACTGTTTAAAACCAATTGCTCGATTTAGTTTAAAAACTTTTATCGTAGGAAAAATAGAGCTCGCCGTACATCTTATGCCCATTCTCATGCTCAACAAGCAAAAGCTCTATTCTCACGTAATAAAATGGATAATAATCTATGATATAACAAAACAACGATAAAACATACTGATAGTTCTCTTCGTGCTGATTGTAGATCGAATGTTCTTCATCGAGATCGCGCATCGTTCGGTCGAACCCTGCAAAAAAGTAAATATTTGACGGGCAAGAGGATTATGGTAAAGCCAGGAAATTTGGGGGTAATTGATCAAATGAATGTGATGGGTGTTGTGTGCGGATTTTGATCACAGAAAACGGCTGGGGACGAGGGTTGGGTTGAGTGGCGGGTATACATGTTTGTCTCCGGAATCGAGCCACAAATTGAGTGCGCTTTAGGTTCGAGATTTTTTGGTACTGTACTGTTAGCGGAGGTGGGATTTCGGGGGAAATTTTTTTGTTTTCCTCCTTTCCTCCTTTACTTGCATCTTAATAATGTAAATTCTATTTTTATACTATTTTTTAGTTGTTGGTTTTTGGAAAGTTCGAAAAAAATCGTAGAAGTTTTGAAGTTGTTAAAATTTGACCCATTAATTCACTCAGGAAGCGTTTCTAAATGTGTTTTTTTGGCTATTCCTACATGTAAAAACTTCAAATTGTCCTAAAAATCCAAAAAATCTCCATTTTTCACCAGAAACGGCCGATCTTCGATGAAAATTACAAATTTTTAACTTTTCAAAAAAGTTTTTGTCTAGTTTTTTTATTTAAAACCAGCGCCCAAAACCCGCTTCGCGGGCCTTGGGCGCTGGAATGCGACCTTTGCATGAGAAATTTGACTTTCCGATAGCTTGGGTCCTTCGGACCCCTCCTTTTCTGACCACACCCGCGCGTGCAACTTTCAAGAATGAGAAAATTTTTATTTTTTGGCATTATGCAAAGTAGTCCTCCCTGGCGCCGGACACACACACACAGAGATACACCGCAAAATTATATAAGGTGGGATACTTTTAAATTTTGTTAAAAAACTATTAAAATACTTGCTATTACATCACTAGGCACTATCAAGTTACAGGATAAAATTAAGTCCGCGATAAACCCCCCCCCCCAAAATGCAAAAGAACTGCGTCCAGAGGAGAAAACGTATTCAATGACGCAAAAATACGGCACGAAAAGGGTCTAAACATTAAAATGCAGTTTACCAGATGAGCGTTAAAAAGGGAAAGAAATTGCAAAAGCTTTTAAGCTCGAATTTAGCCATTTAAAAACCTAAAAAAAGCAAGAGCATTACAAAGAAAACATGACAGTCAGGAGTTTGGCCCAATTTCCGGTGCAACAGCCCGTTTTTTTCAAGCGAGAACCCCTGAAAACCGTGGGCCGGCGTGCTGGACTAGATTTGACCTCGACACTCGAGAGCACACCGCTGTCGCCCCAAATGGGCCGAATCACCGGGGCAGAGAGCGCGCAAACGCCCCCAACGGTAGATGATCATCATGCACAACATGGACGGGGGATTATCATAAGCCGGGCCCACGCTGGCACTAGCCGGTTGTTGTCTGTCACGGCGACGGAAAAAAGAGATCGAGAGAGGAGGAGCAGGAGAAGGAGGGGGAGGAGGAGGACCACGTGGGTACCGAGTCAAGGGCAAACCATTTGGCATCCAGTGAATATTTGTTGGGAATGAGGATGAAATGGAGGAGGAGGAGGAGCAGGAGAAAGAGGAGGATAAGCAGGAGAATGAGAAAGGGATAGGGGGATGGGATGGCAAGTGAAAACGGAGATACACAAACCGCCCACAACTCTTTGATCCCTAAATTCGCAGCTTTAAAGGGGCCGGTAAGTCAGGGCTAAAGATTTGGTTCTTCTCTCTTAATGGGGGGATTTTTAGCAAGAAGCTGATTTTGGTTATACTATACAATGTATTTTATAGTGGTTTTATGGTCTTTTTTGTAAGCCAGAAAGCTACAAAAAGAGTTTTGGATGAAGAATTTTTACTTCACACTGTTTTTTGGTTATCTTTGATACATTTTTGCCACAAAAACCAAAATTTTTCGAAAATTTGCGCTATTTTTTATCAGCTTTAGTCCAGCAAACTGTGTAAAATGCCATAAAAATGATTTATATTTCGTTAAGGGCCTCACGGGATTACTGGGAAAAATTCGTTCGCTGTTTCCCCCCCCCGCTAACAGATCAGTACCAACTTTTACCCATTCCTTTAGTTTGTGGCAATAAAACTGTTGTCAACAATGAACATCCCAGCCCCCAGTCAACTCCCGCACACCCAAAAAAATCGAACACGAAACCGATCCCAAATCGGAGAATCGGGGGCCGTAACCGTCAATAGTACAGATGGGGAAAAGGGCTATTTGTGATAGTCGGCCTCCAATTTTTTGGCGTATGTTCGAGGGCGTGCCTTCCTATTTGGTGTCCCGGTCTCGGCCAAATTAGGGCTGATTTCGGGCTACTGTGGGGGGGATGGTCAAGGATTGGAGGCGTTGAAAGGGAAATTGTAGTCAGTAAAAGAGGGAATATTATGTGGAACATTGTGTAATATAAAAATTTTGGCAATAAGCACATCGGACGATGTGAAAACCCAACCCTAAGCCTAAAACCTAAGCATAACCTAAGCCAATTGATTCCCTATCACCTGTTCGAAAATCATTTGTTCGAAAATCACCTGTTCGAAAATCATCCGTTCGAAAAATCATCTGTTCGAAAATCATCTGTTCGAAAAGACATCTGTTCGAAAAATCATCTGTTCGAAAAGTCATCTGTTCGAAAATCATCCGCTCGAAAATCATCTGTTCGAAAAAACACCGTTTTCGAAGCAACAACCTTTCCAAAATTCAAAGTTTTTTGAAAAGACTTTTCATGACAAAAAAAAAAAAAAAAACAAAAAGACATATTCATGAAGATTCAGGTTAAAATTATGGCAATGTTGTCGAGGAACTCGGCCATATATTCTTTGCTGTAGTTCTCGCAGAGCTGCTGCTGCTCGTCGATGGTCACCCTCGGGCGCTTATTTGGCTTGGCGGAGGATTCGATATAGCCGCGCAATTTCAGATTTTCCTCGAACTTTCCCACGAAACATGCAAAACACAGCATTTTAGTAGCAATAGCTTCCCATAAAATTTTTCCCCATTTGGGACCTTTTTCGAATAGGTGATTTTTCGAACCGATGATTTTCGAACAGATGGTTTTCGAACAGATGATTTTCGAACGGATGATTTTCGAACAGATGGTTTTCGAACAGATGATTTTCGAACAGATGATTTTCGAACAGATGGTTTTCGAACAGGGGTGGTACCAAAGCTCCAAAACCACCGTGGTTAAAATTTAACCACCCATGGTTAAATTTAACCACCCATAGTTAAAATTTTACCACCGATGGTTAAATTTTAACCGCCGAAAACCAATGGTAAAAAGCTAACTTTTGGAGGATGGTTTCTACGACAATTAAGAGGTCTAGAAACATCGCAAAAATCACGGATAGGTTTCTTAAAACGCTTGATCGAATGCCGCTAACCTTTTCTTTGTGCAATACTTGGAAAGGGGCTAAAAAGGAGCTTGGAAATTTAACCACGATGGTTAAACCATAACCACCCATAGTTAAATTTTAACCATCCATGGTTAAGTATTAACCACCCATGGTTTAATTTTAACCATAGGTGGTTAAACATTAACCATCGAGGCCAAAACCAAAAAAATTAACCACCCAAAAGTAATACTTTTTATAAACCATATTAAAAATTTTGCCGAAATCCAAACTCACCAAGAAGATGAATATGGTTTCTTTAGACGATATTCTAAGCATAAGTTAAAGATATTAGGGCCGTAGATGGTGGTTTATGGGCATAAAGTCGCCTCAAAAATTTAACCACCCACGGTTAAATATTTCGTGAAAACGTTTTCACGAAACATATAACCACCCTAGTTAATTTTTTTAGGATAAAGTTAGCCACCTCCCGGCTTCGGATGGCAAAAATTTTCATCAAAGATTAAAACGGAAGCACTCCGCCTCCCCTTTTTTGATATTCTCTCTTTAGACATCACTCCCCAATCCTCGTTTCGATAAATCCGCATATTTTGGATACTTTGTTACCACGAGGTTTGGCATTAATAACAAGTAACTTGGGAAGCCGTTTTCCTAAGGGTAGCGCACCAGGCTTTTTGGCCACGTCGACCTAGTCCTTTCGTATAGCGTAACTTATCCTATTCGAAATTAGGAAATCATAATTTTTGTTGAAAAATCTCCCCGTTTCGCCGGCTTGCCCGCGAAATGACCCCGGAGCCTAATGAGCGCACTAAGGAATCAAGTGAAACTATTAATAATAGTAAACAACTTATAATCTTATAATATTTATTTGAATTCTAACGTTTAGTAACTCATGTGAATAAAATAAAGTTGGATGTTTTTATAAAAATTTAGTATATTTTTTATTGGTCTAACCGAAAACCACTCCCTAAAGTAATAATCTGTTAGTAATGCTTTTGCAAAAATACTTTAATATTTATATTTTCACTTCTGTTTATAAACAAAAAATCTACCCTGAAAATAATGTGTCGGTACATGTATTGTCTCAATTTATAAGCACAATTTTTGTAATGCTTAACTACCGGTTTGGCCGCAACTAATTTTTAGTAAGAAATGCTTTTTAGGAGCAAGGTTATTCAGTATACCGAACAAAAATGTCCACAAGCTGGAACGTCGAATGCCAAAATTCACTTAAAATACGTAATTCATGGTTTTGAGCTTGATAAGCATCAAAATGCAAAACGACAAATAATTAATTATCACGGGTGTCTAACAACAATAATAGTTAAAAACAGTAATTAACTGACGTTAAAATTACATTTTTCGCTCGCAACTATGGCTTCTGACAGTGAATAAGCACCAGACCACGTTGATTTCATTTAAAAACTTAATGGAGCGTTTATAACTTTGTAAATCCTATTTAATATTGTTTTTTACATATTATAGCGAACGAGCACGGGGCACAGGCCTGCTATTAGTGCGAGAAATTCCTTCCTGCACGCGCCTTCATATCAGCGCAGATGCGGATATCACATCTGCCATATGGGGGAGTGTTAGACACGCAGACCACGATTGGCGTTGTCCGTGGCGTCCTTTTCGAACGGATGATTTTCGAACAGATGATTTTCGAACAGATGATTTTCGAACAGATGGTTTT